ACGGCCCGGCCCAACGGCCGCCCGCGGAACAGCCCCCCCTGCCCCGGCCCGGGGCGCCCCGGAGGCCCCGAAGAGAATCACGGCTGAGGCTGGTGTGGCGCTAGGGAGTCTGTAATTATTACAGCATCACTTGGGGGACTGGAACCCAATCCTCTGCGGGCTCCAGTCAAGGCACTGGGCAAGTTGTGGGCTGTGCTTGTTAGGAGTGTCTTGTTAGGAGTGTCTTAAGGCAACCCGGTTTAGTTAGCATCTCGCTCGTCAAAGGAGTTTGGCTTTAAATGGCAGTAGATTGGCTGGAAATACGGCAGATTTGAAGTGGAGAGGCTGGAGACAGACGGCTGCAGTTGATGGGAGTTTCTTCCTGTAACTCATGTAGTCGAGACTACAAAAAAGAAAAAAAGTTGGCGGAGGAACATGTCTGCTTCAGCTCTCCACCATAACAACCCTGAATTTTAAGATTTTAAGATACTAGAGACAAGTAGAGAGGGACTGAAGTTTCCTGTATTTCTTTTCCCCTAGCTTTAGTTTTCATCTGTGCTTGCATCAAGAATTCTCACCTAAGACCACAACTGTTGCTAATTATTAGCGTTTGTTATCGTAGCACAGCCCCAACAAACTTTTTTTTTTTTTAATTTTCTTATCAGAGCAGTGCACTTGGCACTACCGTGCCGAAGCCTGATCTAAGCAAGAATAAGAAAAAATGGAATTGCACTTCTCAGACAAGGGAGACAAATGGTCTTTCTTTACACTTAATAATAATAAGTAATAAGTAATAAGTGTACAATAAGAAGTTGTTCTTTGTTAAGTCTAGTGGAATCCCAGTTGTACCTCTCTTCCAAATCTACATTGCACAGGTGTTCCAGAATCAGCTATTTGAGCTCATAAGTGAGCCCTATAATATGAGCCCTTAGATAGGGCTCATAAGCGAGCCCTATACTGCTCACTGCAGTCAACTAAACAATCATTTAAGCAGGGGCTGCTGTTTCAAGCTAATGTTACATATACACCTTCAGCTCGAATACCCTGGCTTAACTGTAACAGTCAGCGAGTCAATTCCATCCACTGCAACTCTCAAGAAAAATCTCCTTTTCAATGAAACTTACCAATGATAATGATGATGATGATAATGAGAATAACAGCTATCAGTATTGCCCACATCTGTGAACGAAAACCACAACACACTTACAACAAGACTGTGCAGCAGCATTAATAGGCTTTTACTAGGGGAAGCAGCCACTACAAGGTACCCTTGTACTGTGTGCTAGATGAACGTGGCAAGTAGAACATGTGCAACACCATTTTGATGGACCGTTACCCCTCAGAAATGGTAGACTGGGCACACCGGCAACCAGAGTTGACCAACAAGCTCTCTTTCATGTCTCTGTACAGAGCCTGTCCAAGGTGACTACACAAACAGGAGTAAAAAGAAACCTATTCAACACCTTTCATACTCCTGTCCTACACCACATTTTCCACTTTGTTGCTCACCAAAGAAAGTACCAACATTTACCAGGAGCTGTAGAAGACAATGCTCTCCTCCCGCTTTGCAATACTTCCTTGCAGTAAGTTCAGCCCACAGAGTTTTGCTCTTTTCTCACCGGTTCCCCACAGCCTCAGGTGACCATAATGCTTCCCTTTGGCCATTGCTGTCTTGGACAAGATATTGTTTAGCAGCAATCTAGATTTTGGTCACTTCACATGAACATTGTGCTATGTATTGTAAAGCTGGTGCTAGAACTTAGCATTCACTGGAGTCACTTTTGAGATAATCCCTAACATACTGTAAAGTGTAATACTGATTTTTGTATATTCAAGCCATGGTTACCTTACAGTTCTTCCACCAATACTTTCTTTTCAGCTTGGCTGCACTGGTCTCAAACTGGGAAGCTCCTGCTTGCAGGGCATCAGCTCGGTCATCCAACTCCGATAGCTTCTGATCTCGCTCCAACACCTTGTCGACATTCACCCTCATGATGTCAACCACCTACATCAATTTAACATTTACAGTAAGTACATCAACCGTATCACTGCTGGAGAGATTACTTGCAGGTAAGAGATTCCAATACATGATATTTTTTCATAGTGTCCTCTAAGGAGTAGGAACAGTTGACTTTCAGGAGATCCAATCATGAACTTAAGTGAAAATGTTCACATTTCACAGTTTAAGTGAAGAAGTTCACACGTCCACTGCCTGAAGTGGACTTTGTGTGTCAGTAYTGCAGACAAGTTCTCAAAGTTTGGCTGGCATTCCTTCAAACCTGAAAAGAATTTTATAACCTGCTTCAAAAGGACTTGAGCATTTTAATCACGGACAAAATATTTTTGACATTCATTTGAAGTGCTATCCTGTTCAAGCAGATAAAGCTGCTGTTAACCAACAATGGCTTTTGGACTTCCCCAGAAATTTGCCTRTCTTTTTAGGGGAGAAGATCAGCCTCTTTTTGCCTCTTTGACAGAAGAGTATTATTTTAACTTGCATCCAATCCTCAGATACTGGGTTTGCAACCAASCTTTCGACACTGGTAACTTTTCCCCACTCCAGCAGAATGCGCCCTCCTCCTGATTCCCCCCCCCCCCTTTTTTAAATTATTTTTTAATAAAAAGAACTTTCCAAGACCCCAAGTGACAGAAGCACAACAAAGAAGGCTGAATGATGCTGAGCTTCCCTTTCATATAAAACAGCAGTACGTGCTGTGGCCAATGCTTGTCTATTTTTCTTGTCAGGTTTTCTGAAAGAGATGGGATTATTACACTGCTGTCAGAATAGACTGTTACCTCATCCACTTGGTGCTGTGTTTGCTGAAGACGGCGATTACCGCCAGCACCAACATCGGAGCTTCCAGGACCGCTTGCTGACCTGCGGTAAGGACAATTATCACTATTCCATATTGTTTTGTAGGTACATGTATGTATGCATAGAAAGTTGATAAGGCTAAGTTCAGAAATTATCTGCCATTCCTGAAAACACGGAATTTGGCTCCTTGGAAGAAATACTGGGGTGTCTATTCCCACTTGAGAATTGAGGTGTTAATAGCTGAACTTCAGCGTAAATCAATTAATACCCCAAACCTCTTGCTAATGGGTGAATTGCTTRAAGTGCTAAAAGAAAACAGTGGCTGGCTACTAACACAGCCTGTACTAAGGCACAGAGCAACTCCTAAAATGATTCATAGGGCTCAAACATTCAAGATTTGGATGCAGCAAGAATGCAGACACTAAGTTAAGACTCAGTAGCTTTCAAAAAACTCAACAGAGAAAGTTAATGGCTCCTCTGTGTGCTCTTCCAGTGGTTACCTGTCTCCTTTGAGACAGTTGGCATTGAACCAGAGGCAGCACAAGGAGGAAATGCATACAGCACTCTACTTCTACAGTCTGGCACCTTACATCCTTTTGCCAGCCCCACAATTTTCTT